CGCTATCTCCAGCAATCTGTCCTCTCTGCTCCATGCGAGAGGGCTCCTGACTGCAAAGCGCATCAGCGCGAGTGCGAGCACTCGCCACATGACTCGGGTCCGCGAGACAGCTGGGCGGGCCTGTCCTCCCACATCAGCAGGGGCAAGGCGGTGCCGGGGTGCAGCGGCGCGGTCACGGCGGGCGCAGGAGCTGAGCCTAAGCGGCTAAGAGAATGATGAGGATGATGAGGATGAGGATGAGGTTGATGCTGATGGTGCAGCTGATGCTGATGATGATGCTACTGATGATGATGCTGATGATGATGATGATGGTGATGCTGATCTTGATGTTGATGCTGATGATGATTATGGTGGCGGTGATGGTGGAGGTGATGATGATGATGATGCTGATGTTGATGATGCTGATTATGCTGATGCTGCTGCCGATGATGATGATGATGATGATGATGATGATGATGATGATGCTGCTGCTGCTGCTGCTGATGCTGATGCTACTGATGATGATGATGATGCTAATGCTGACACTGATGCTGATGCTGATGTCGATGATGCTGATGCTGATGCTGATGATGCTTATGATGATGGTGATGACGATGATGATGCTGATGCTGATGCAACTGCTGATGACGATGCTGCTGCTGATGATGATGATGATGCTGATGATATTGATGATGGTGATTCTTACTGTGATGCTGCTGATGATGATGCTGATAATGATGATGATGATGCTGCTGATGATGATGATGCTGATGATGATGATGCTGATTAGGGTGGTGGTGATGGTTGAGGTGATGATGCTGCTGATGTAAATGATGCTGATTATGCTGCTGCTGCTGTTGATGATTATGATGCTGATGCTGCTGGCGATGATGATGCTGATGACGGTGATACTGATACTGGTGATGATGCTGCTGATGCTGATGACGATGCTCAGCGCTGATGCTGATGCTGATGCTGATGACGATGACGATGATGATGATGCTGATGTCGATGATGTTGATGATGATTCTGATGATTATGATGATGGTGATGCTAATGGTGATGCTGATGCTGATGATGATGCTGATGATGATGTTGATCATGCTGATGAGGCTGCTGGTGATGATGACGCTGTTGCTGACTATGATGCTGATGTTGATGATGCTGATGATGATTATTGTGGTGGTGATGGTGGAGGTGATGATGATGCTGATGTTGATGATGCTGATTATGCTGATGCTGCTGCTGCCGATGATGATGCTGCTGATGATGCTGCTGATGATGATGCTGATGCTGATGCTGATGCTAATGTTGGTACTGATGCTGATGCTGATGATGATGATGTTGCTGATAATGATTATGATGCTGATGTTTCTGATGCTGCTGATGATGATGCTGATGATGATGTTGATGCTGATTATGACGATGATTACGGTGGTGGTGGTGGTGATAGTGGAGGTGATGATGATGATGCTGATGATGATGATGATGATGCTGATGTTGATGCTGATGATGATGATGATGATGATGATGATGATGATGATGATGATGATGATGATGATGATGATGATGCTGATGCTGTTGCTGATGATGATGATGATGATGATGATGATGATGATGATGATGATGACGATGATGCTGATGAGGATGATGAGGATGATGAGGATGATGAGGATGATGAGGATGCTGAGCAGGAGGAGGAGGAGCAGGAGGAGCAGGAGGAGGAGGATACGGTCCCTTCGTAATGACCTGGCGCTGGTCACTAGACCTTGTTGGTCACTGGGCCGTCTTGAAACCTCCGTCGGGGTCATGCCCATCTTTCCCACTCAGTGGGGAATGCTCGAGGATTCCCTTACGCCCCTCCCTTCTCCCCTCTCGAAGCCTGTTTTCTGTCTGTTGCTGGTTATTGGCTGTGTTCCGTTGTTTGCCCTCGGCAGCGCGCCCGCCGATGCCCCCACCCCGCACCTGGTGGGCGCACCCGCAGAGTGGCGACGGCCCCGTTCTGCCCCCCCCCGGCCCCAGACGCCCAAACGCGTCCGCCCGCCACCGCCGACACCGTGCCGAGACAGGGAGAGGGCGTCCATGCGGCGCCAGGTCGGCACTGCCAGCCTCTCCCAGAGCCAGGAGGGAGCGGGCCCGAGCAGTGGAATGTTGCGGGGCAGGCGGGACGAGCAACTCCGTCATATATCGGATGCCTGTTGCCATGTATCTTCGATTTCGGGCCAATGCCTCTCCCCCTCCCCTCAGTTTGTCACCCCCCCTTCCCTCTCCCCCTATTCGCTTCCGTTCACAGCGGTTCAGTAGCGGAGGGAGAATGACCGACGAGGTGGAGAAAGGGGGAGGGGCGAGGGGGGTGCGACAGGCTAGGCGCGCTCGCGCCATACTGAGCACCCTATCCTTCCCACTCATCCCTTCCCATCCCCCTTGCACCCATTCCTTCTCTATCCGCCGACGCGTGTAACAGCGGGCCTGAAACTCCACAAGCCACCCATCGTGTTATGCGCAATCGAAGATTGGCAGCTGCGTGCGTGCATATGACGATGAGGTGGCGGATGAGTAGGAGGACGAGCAGAAGGGAAAGGAGGAGGAGGAAGGAAATGGACAAGGACGAACAGCAGCAGCAGCAGCAACAGCATGACATGGAATGGAAGAAGCTGGAGGAGCAGGAGGATCAGGGGAAGGCGGGGGAAGGGACAACGGTGGGAGGTGATAAACGATTAGGAAGGACTCGGATCCAGAACGTGGTTTGCGCTGGGGCGAGAGCGCCATTCTGAACGACGGGAAGACAGCCCCGATCCTAGAATGAGGCCCATGCTGCAGCAGAAACACCGCTCTGGAAGGATCGAGAACGTTCGGAATTCAAAAGCACATACGCGTAAACAACTCGTCATCGTCGTGATTGTAAACTAACAGTAATCGGAGGGGATTGCGCCACGGCCTGGCCATATTCGGGGGAGAGAGGAGAGCAGCACTCATACGGAGTAACCGTAGAATAGGGGGATGTGGGACTTTCTGATGAACATCCTGGAGGCCTTGCGCAGCGCGCAATAGTTGCATTATCTAGTCCACGCGTCCGCCCCGTACGTTACGGGACGACCTCGCGCGACGATGTTCCGATGTGCGTCCGACGTACATCCGACTCAGTTCGACGTCATCCGACGGGAGCCCTACGCCCATCCGACGTTGATCCGACGCAAGTTGGGTCTCAAGTTGCAGCGCGAGGCCTCCAGGAGTTTCCTCAGAGATTGTGGATAGGGGGTCGCGAGTGGGGACTCGTCCCTCCCGAATGGGAAGGGGGGGACTTGTCCAAGTAGGGCTTACGACGGCCTCTCCGCTCGCGCTTCCACGCGGGCGCACGCTGCCGGAGAGCCGTGTGGGGCGCTGCTTGCGGCTGAAAGGGGCGGGCCCGAGCGAGGCGGAGAGCAGCACGAGAAGGAGGAGGAGGAGGCGAAGGAGGTGGAGGAGGCGGAGGGGGAGGAGGCGGAGGAGGTGGAAAAGGTGGAGGAGGAGGAGGATGCGGAGGAGGTTTGCCACGCAGCAGGCGGAGGATGAGGACGAGGAATAACAGGAGGAGGTTGGCCACGCAGCAGGCGGAGGAGAAGGAGGAGGAGAAGGAGGAAGAAGAAGAGGAACACAATCAGGTGGAGAAGAGGAGGAGAAGGATCATGTATACTGAAGATAATGAGGTCCGCAGCTCGAAGCTTGAAGTAGGAGGAGGAGGAATAGGAGGAGGAGGATGAGGAGGAGGAGGAGGGAGAGGACCAGCGCAAACCAAAGACGCATCAACGATGTTACAATACATCCTCCCGCGAAGTTTCCTCTTCATATAATAAGATTCGACTATATACGTTTATTGCGGGAAGTGCCCCATTGGAAAACCGTGTGAGAATTCTCAGTCGTGCCAGAACACGATACTTTGGACTTCAGTGCTGCGAATCACTTTGAGTCTTGACAGTCCGAAATCCTGCTAACACGTAATTCCTGGGACTTCAACACAGCGAATCAAGGTGACTTTTGCGTCCTGGCAATATTCAGTCTTGCAGTGCACAGCTCCTGAGACTTCAGCCATACTAGCCCTTAGCTGTGATGCAAACTTTGAAGGCGGATGTGCGCGGCGCAGATGCGAGAGCCACATGTTGAAGAGAAACCGCCCTCCATCAGAGAACTTGTTGCACACCTATTACGCAATGTGCGTGGCGCTAATGCGAGAACCACTTTTTGAAAACGATCCGCTTCCATCCGAGGAACTGTTTTTCACCTTTTACGACGGTTGCGCGCGGCGCAAATGCGATAGACATCTTTTGAACACCGTTCGCCATCCATTCGTGAAACAGTTGTTAGTTTCAAGCGCAAGGGTCATCAATGTGGAGGCAGTCAGGCGAAATGGGCGGTTCGTCCTACCGACACGGACGAGGAGAAGGAAGAGGAGGACGAGGAGAAGGAGGAGGAGGTGGAGGAGGGGGAGGAGGAGGAGGAGGATCTCGGGGGCCAGGTGGGGGCGAGGGCATTTTTTTGCGGGAATGTGTGTGTAGAGTCCTAAAAGGAGAAGTAGAAGAGGGGAGATCAGGAAGTGCAGAGTACGAGTGTCATGGTGCGGGCAAGAGAGTGGTGGGCGATGCCGATGTTGGGGAGGAAGTGGCTGTGATGTTGACTCCCCAAATGAGAAGAGTACAGAAGGCAGGTGCCAGGAAGTCCAGTGGTAAGGGTGTCAGAGAGGCGATGGGGCAGGCAGGGACGGGGTCGGGCAATGCAGGGGGTCATACTTGGCGGGAGTCCCGAGGGTCGAGGTGGTGAGACCCAGTGGGAGCGAGGCTGCTAGAACAAGGTACGTATTGCGGACGAGGGCTGGGACGCTCCCCCTCGCACGCCTCTTGGGGTCGGCGGATCGAGGAGCTCGCCTAAGCTGCTCGTGGCCGCGCTGGCTCAGGCTGCTCTCCTCTCGGGCCCTCCCGCGGCCCCGCGGGGGAAGCGCCAAGGACCTGGCACACCAGTCGGCGCCTGCGGGCGCCGCGACGCGCGCCATGCTCGCTGGCGTGCGCGCGGCTGCCTCTGCGGGCGGGCGCCGGACGTCCCCGGCGTCGGCCGCCGCGCGGCTGGCTGCCGCCCTCGCGCGCGGCGCGCCCGCGTCTGGCGCGCCGCCGGAGCTGCCGGCGGGCCTCGCGCCGCCCCGCGCGGCGCGCTCCGCGCTCGGCGCCCTCGCGCCAGCGCGCGGCCTCTTCTCGCTGGCGCTACCCTCCACGGCGGGCCTCGCGCCCGCCCGCGCGGCGCGCCCCGCGCTCGGTGGCCTCGCGCTCGCGCGCGGCCTCGTCACGCTGGCGTTGCCCGCCACGGCGGGCCTCGCGCGCCTCCCGCCCCGTGCACCCTGCGGAGTGGCGCGGGCCCCGGCGCTCCTGGTGCCAGGCGCCGCGCCCGCCGCTCTGGGCGTCCGGCTGCTCGGCGGGGCGCCGTCCGAGAAGAAGAGGAACAAGCTGAAGATGAAGAAGCACCGCTACATCCGAAACGTGAAGGCCTCGGGGGAGGGAGATATGAAGTGCCCAGGAGATGAGTGGGCCCGAGCGGGGGCCCGTGGAGGCTCGGTAGTAGGTGGATATCTCCGAGGCCGCGCTCGTTTCACGACACCGCGGCCTCAAGAGCTTCCGACCCCTCCCTGGGGAAAGTTTTGCGCCGCGGGCCGTCTGGCAGGTCCCTGTGCCTGACGGCGGCTCCCTGATGGCGAAATCGTGATCACAACAAGCACTCAGTAATTTGTTTTGTTGTTCCTCGCGCGCTGGGTGTCTGGGTGTTGGCTCTCTCCCGAAGGCCGTGCGGTACGTCTCCTGCATCCCGCAGTACCTGGGGCCGCTAGGCCCGTGGCCGGGTTGGCTGCGCCGCCAGGGGCCGAGGGGGGGGGGGGGGCAGAAGCAGGCAAGCTCGTGTGCCACAGTGCCCCCACCAGAGGTAGAACAGCAGCCCCACTGGCCCAGCACGATCTTGGCGGTGCGCACATGGGGCGGTGCGAGGGGTGCGTGCCTCCTGGAAGAATGGATGCCTCCCAAGAAGGCCCTCCTGCCTCCCAAGGAACCTTGCCAGGAGCCACCGATCCCTTCTGGTCAGCTCCCGATCCCTTCTCAGAAGACCGCCCCCCTCTCGGCTCATCTCGTTTTTGGTCGCGCCGTTGGCAAGCCGATGTTGGCTGTTTTTCTCAGCCGTGGGGTCCCCAGACACCCGACGTCGTGATGTTTTGCTACGAGCCCCCCATGAGGTCTGGACACCTTCCATGTGACCGGCTTGCCGATAATGGCCGGAACCCTCTTGCGTGATTTCCATACAATTTTTCATTCCCTGGCGACAACGGGCGTGACCAGGGAAAGGGCAAGGGGGGGGGCGGGGCTAGTGATGGGCGTTATCATGAATGATCTAGACATGGGCTCGGACATCTTCCACCACACACGGATGTCGGGATCTACCTGGTGGTTCTTGGTCTTGGCCCTCCCGCCTGCTCTTATCATTAATGGTGAGGAAATGGACTCGGACATTTCCCACGGCACAAGGATGTCACGGTTTGCCTGGTGTTTGCTGGCCTTCCCGCCAGTCTGCCCGGCGGCTGGCCGACCGCGGCTTGCAGGCCGGCAGACAAAGAAGCGGCCTATCATCAAGATGTACCGGGCCACCCCGCGCCTCAGGATCTTCGGCCGGCAGCGCTGAGCCGGGTCCTGCGCATGTCGCCATGTGGGAAGCGGGTCCTGAGTGGAACGGTCCTGAGTTTTTCCGCTGTTTTTTTCGGGCCCTCGGGGATTAGGATGAAGAGTTGGGCCGGGGGAAGGCCCCAGGGTAGGACCCGTTTCCCCCATATTAAGCGCATGTTGGGAGGGAGGCGGGGCCAGCGAGGTTTGCGTTTATCGTTGCGATCTAGGTACGCACGGGAAGAACGCAAGTGTCATTAGCGGTTACATGTTAAACAGGATTCGCTATCGTTGTCCCCGCGGATGTTTTCCATTTGAGGCAGACGACTGGCTGCCCAACAGCGGCCGCTGTCGGTTTTTGACAACATGTGTTTGGGGGCATCGTGCCCATGTTTTCCGACCCCATTTTGGGGTGCAAAGTGCTGGGAGGGAGGCGGGGCAAGCGAGGATTACAGGCATGATATTTAGTCGCTCGAGGGAGGCGGGGCCAAGTCTCCCAAATGTCCTGACCCCCTTCAGTGCGTCCCTTGGCTCCTCCTCGTCCGTTCACCTGCCTGGGGCCATGATATGCACCCCCCCACCTTCGATCCAGAGCGGTCCAGGGCGCTCTCAGAGCGTTCTGGAACGCTCTGCAGCGGCCGCGGCGCCCGATGCATCCGTCAGACCCGCCAGCTAATTCCGCGTTACCTCTTCCCGATTCTGTCTTCGTCCTGCCCTCGCCTTGCGGGGGTCGGCAGAGGCAAAGTGCACACACATCACCACCGCCGGGCATCCGCTGGCCCACTCTTGGCTAGGTCCTGGTGCGCAAGGCCCCCCCCCCCCCCGGCCTGGCCAGGAGCGGGTATCGCCGAGCGCGTTCCACTACTCGCAAAGTGGCTTCTCGCAAACGTCCGACAAAACACATGTCTGCTTCGATATAGTTTATCGTAGACCCCTCGCGGCGGATCCAGGCCATTTGCGAGTAGCTGTTTTGCGAGCGGTGGAACGCGCTCGTCCAGGGTAGGCACACCGAGGACCGAGGCCTGGGCCCCTCGGCGGTCCCGTGGGCGCCTGGCGGTGGCGCCCTCTCGCCCTTCTCGACGGGAGGGGGAGGCCGAGCTTCTGCTTGCTCGTGCGAGGCTGCGGGCCACGTGCAAAAGTCAGGATGGGAAAAACACGCAGACACAATTATGCGTCGATTCCGAGGAACATATGGGAAACTATGGGAAGTGGGGGGGAAGACAGAAACTCAGAACATATGTCAAAATATGGGCAATCCGGAAATATGGGTTTTATCCGGGATATGGCGGCTCCGCCTGCGGCGGCAGCGCCGGGAGCTGGGGCTCCGACGGCAGTTCCGCTGACAGCAGCAGCGCCGGGAGCAGGGCCAGGCGGCGGCGCGGCCACCGCGGCGGACGACGGCGCGGACGGCGCGCCGCGGGCGACGGGACCCGCAGGCGGCGCCCCCTGCGGAGGCGGTAGCGGCGGCGCTCAGGGCGAGCGGCTGGGGCTTCGCGGCCGAGGGGGTCGCGGAGGGCGCCCTGGCCGAGGCGGTGGCTGCTGGCCTCCTTTGCTGGGAGGGCCGCCGGCGCTCCCGCTAGACGCAGGCGAGCACCCCATCGAGCGCGAGTATGACGGGCTCAACTGGGCGCAGCTCGCAGGCCAGCCGAACGCGGCTGGCGCATTGGGCTCCTCTGTCCAGGCCACCCCGCGGGACGAGGCGAGTTCCGCGGGGCCGGCGGTCGGGGAGCAGGCGGAGAGGCGCGCCGCCGCGGCCGCCGCTGTCGCTACCCCGCCGCGGGCGCGGGACTCCGCAGCAGAGGCTCCGACGGCCGCCCCGCCTGCGGCGGCATCGCCAGGAGCGGGGGCTCCGACGGCTGCCCCGCCTGCGGCGGCAGCGCCGGGAGCGGGGGCTCCGACGGCTGCTCCGCTTGCGACGGCAGCGCTGGGAGCTGGGGCTCCGCCGGCGGCACCGCCAGGGGCGATGGCGCCGGGAGCAGAGCCAGTGAAGCGGCGGCTCTGGGCTGACCTGGCGGCCGAGGAAGAAGCCGCTAGACTCGACGCCCCGCAGGCGGCGACCCTGCCCGCGGGGGGCGCGCGGGCTGCTGGAGGCGCGGCGGCCGCCGGAACCGCCCCAGGCGCCGCGGCGGCAGCGCGCGCGGCAGCGGCGGACCGCGCCGCGGAGGCCGCTCAGGCGGTGGCCTTGGCCGCGGCCGCGGACGCGGCGGCCGCGGAGGCTGCCGACGGGCTGCGCGAGGCGGTGTGCGCCACCTTCAAGCGCGGCTGGACGCCTGTCCGGGTCGCCGCGCGCCACCTCGGCCTGCCCGAGGGCCGGCGCGTGCCCGCGGTCCGCGGCCGGGTGGCGCGGCGGGTGGCGCGCCTGGCTGCGGCGCGGCTCCTCGAGCTCGCCGAGCTGCTGGGCGCTGCAGACTAGCCGCGCGGCGCGCGGCGCCGGGCTGCGCAAAGCCGCAGCCTGGCTGAGCACTGCTGCTTTCGCTGCTGCCTACTCCTCCTCTTCTCCTCCCTCCCCCTCCTAAGCCACGGGGCGACCCTCTCGCGCAGGTGAAAATCGCCGCGGCAGCGGGTCGCCGCAAGTTCGGCCGATGCCCTCGTGCGAGACGAAGGGCAACGCGGCAGACGCACTGCCAGGTGGGCATCCTGGGACGGCCCAACACACGGTTACCTTGTCCAGGCTATCCGCAGCGACCTGTGGGCGTTTGCTCGACTTCTGGCTCGCCGTCGGCCAACCCCCCGTCGAGGGTGTTGCGCCATGTCGCGTGGGTCTGCCCTGCCCAGGCAGGGCCCCGCCCCTTGTCCAGGGGCTGCGGCTGCCGCGTGGGTTTGCCTTGTCCAGGCAGGGGCCCGCTGCTTACCTGCACGCTCCTGGCACTTGCTTTGCCTGTCCTCTTGAACGATATGGAGTACCCGGAACGAAAAGGATGCAGAAAGCTGTAAAGTACTCCCCGGAGTAATAAAGTACTCCCCGGAGTCTTAAGTATTCGTCATCGTCTGAAAACTTAAAAACCTTAACTTGTCAGGGCGAATCATACATAAAATGCAAGTGACCTATCAAAAATGCAACGCGCCACGTCCTTCCGTGAGCAACGGAATGCGGAGCCGTCGATGTTTGCGTTGCTTGCGTTGAGTTGATTGCATTGTTTTGTAGCATTGTAAGACAAAACAACATACCAACAAAACGTTGGCAAGACAAAATGCAACGCCCCACATCCTTACGTGAGCCACGGAATGCGGAATCGTTGATTGGACACGTTGGTTGCGTTGCATGGTTGCGTTGGCAACTGCAGTTTGACATGTTGATGTGATTCCTTGATTGCAATCAAGGAATCACGTCAAAGTGTCCAATCAGGTTTGGACACGTTGTGTTGGACACGTTGTGTTGATTGGAAACCTTGTGTTGACACGCTGTTATGATTTGACACGCTTCGCCTTGTGTTGATTGGACACGTTGCGTTGCAACACAACGTGCCCAATCAACACAACGTGCCCAATCATGGTTGCAACGCAAGGCGAAGGGTGCCATGACACCCTTCGCCTTGTATTGGTTGGACACGTTAGGGATTGGGCACGTTGTGTTGATTGGACACGTTGCGTTGATTCGTTGTCGTCGCGCCTGGGCCGCGGGCCCGAGGGCCCGCGCAGCTGGCCGCGCGCGCCCGCTCGTGGCGACCCGGCAGCGCATGGAGGCGCGCCGCCGCGTCGATCCGCCGTCGCCGTCGTCGCGTTGAGCGGCGAGGAGCGAGGAAGGAGTTGGAGGGGAGGAGAAGGAAACTACGGAGGAATGTGGGAGGAACACTTAAGGAGAGAGGAGGTACAGGAGAGGAGGTATAGAGGAGAGGAAGCAACAGCAAGGGAGGACATATCGCCATCACTGTCATCACCGCCGCTGCCATTACCGACATTTCACCATCACTGCCGTTGCCATCACTGCCGTTACCATCACTGCCGTTACCGTCACTGCCATTACCGACATTTCACCATCACTGCCGTTACCGTCACTGTCATAGTATTGCCATTACCATCACCATCCGTCATTACTGTCACTGCCGTTACCTCACTGCCGTGCTCCCCGTCCCCCTTCTTCTCCCCCTCCTCCTCCGCCTCCTCCTCCTTCTCCTCCTCCCCCTCCTCGTCCTCCCCTTCCCCCCCCATCCCCCTCCCCCGTTTTCCCTCTCCTCCTCCTCCTCCTTTTCCTCCTTTTCCTCCTCCTCCTCCTCCTCCTCCTCCTCCCCCGGCGCTGTTGGCGCTCGCCGTCGCAAGCCCACCGCGGCTCAGAAGCCTCCCTCGATCGCCGGCCGCCCGAGATGGACGACGCCGCGCAGTGGGCGTCGCCCACGCGCGGCAAGAAAGCGACATGGTCCCACGCAGACGTGGAGGAGCTGGGTGGCAGGCCCGGGCGATGAGGAGGATGACGAGGGGGACGAGGAGAGGAGAAGAGGACGAGGAGGGGGAGGATTAGGAGGGGGAGGAGGAGGAGGAGGAGGAGGAGGAGGAGGAGGCGGAGGAGGAGGAACAGGAGGAACAGGAGGAGGAACAGGAGGAGGAGCAGGAGGAGGAACAGGAGGAGGAACAGGAGGAGGCAAACACGATGAGGAGGAAAGGGATGAGGAGAGGAGGAGGTGGCGGAAG